CTACCGTATATTGCACACTGATAGGCTGAAGTGTCACTGCTGCACCAATCACCATAGACAACACGTATGATCACTACTCACACAGTCACTGCAGTCAACGATGGCTATATCTCGTGTAAATACATCTTGTGTCACTGCTTTTTTCGAAACTGTAGTAATTATATATTTGTGCTCGTAATGGATGAGATTCAAATATTCTTATATACTATTTATTTCTAGTTCTCCCAAGGCTGGTTTATTGCCGGTAAACGCAGTAACACGGAAAATAATCCACTGTAGGTGTGGTAAGAAATTTGTGAACGTTTCGCTTGAGAACCTTCGTTGACTTCAAATCCATGTTCGTTTATTTGTCAGTTGTACAGATAGGCTCGGCTTAATCGTAATGTGTGTGTGTGTGTGTTTTGTTTTTTTTATCGGAGGATTATTTTCGTAATCCGTTGATGGATATACGTGTTGTTCTGGATTGAGTAGGGGTTTGGCTTTGAAGTACGGTATTCTTCTAAACGCTCTGATGTGCAAGTTTGTTCTGTTTCAATGGAGAACGTTGAAGTCTTCCTAATAATGTGCAAGTTTGTTCTGCTTCAATGGAGAACGTTGAAGTCTTCCAAATGATGTTCATGTTTGTTCTGCTTCAATGGAGAACGTTGAAGTCTTCCAAGTGATGTGCATGTTTGTTCTGCTTCAATGGAGAACGTTGAAGTCTTCCAAATGATGTACAAGTTTGTTCTGCTTCAATGGAGAACGTTGAAGTCTTCCAAATGATGTGCTCTCTGGTTCTACAGCGTTTAAAATGTTGATATATGAAAATACTTTTCCTCGAAAAGCACTGATACAGTTGCGCTTTTCCAGCCATAATTGTAAACCTTGCGGCATTGCACTATCAAATATAAAGAAGCTAAACATGGCGCCCGTAACACCACAATTGATGTAACACCACAACTGATATATGCAAATCGTTCTTATAAAGTACGTTTAACTCTCTGTAGAAGTAAAGATATAAAAAAACAGAAGGCTTGTTGATACACGGGCAGCAACCAATGTTGCCAAGTCTCGCGAGGAAAGTAAGCGGCATTGACTTCCGAAACAAGCCCAAAACAAGTGGCACTGACTTTCGAAACAAACCCAAAACAAGCGGCCCTGACTTTCGAAACAAGCCCAAAAAGCGGCCCTGACTTTCGAAACAAGCCCAAAACAAGCGGCCCTGACTTTCGAAACAAGCCCAAAAAACGGCCCTTACTTTCGAAACAAACCCAAAACAAGCGGCCCTAACTTTCGAAACAAGCCCAAAACAAGCGGCTCTGACTTTCGAAACTACTCTTCGTGGTTTACCCTCAAAATGGCGATTTGCGCAGCTTTATTGGAACACAAAATGTATCAAGTGGGGGGGGGGGATAATTCTAAAATTGTACTTATGCAGTCTATTTATTGACCCAGTCAATAACCGAAACCACTCCTACAACCGTTTTACTGTGTGTTCAAGTCTATTCATTGACCCAGTCAATAACCGAAACCACTCCTACAACCGTTTTACTATGTGTTCAAGTCAACTATTACAAAACAAACAACAAATAAACGACTAAAATAAACGAATAAAACAAGTCTAAAATACCGAAAACCGCGACTCTCAAAAACTTAAAGCAATTTAAAAAAACAAGCACAATTCCGCTTAGCGACAAGTAAGAACGAATTTTTTAATTCAAACTAAAGGCCTCACATGCTACCAATCAGCTTTTTGACTAACAAAAATAACCGAAATATGTATATATATATATTGCAACTGAGTCATCAGGTGGAAAACAAAGTTTTATAATAAATATTAAAAACACGGTAATACCAAAAACATCTTTAATATGGATGTTCGGAATTTCCTTAAATTCCATCATCAGCGTTAATACCTCAACAAAAATTTAGTTCACAATATTCGAACTACAAGAAACAACATTAGCATTGAGAGAGTTTTCTTATTCATTTGGAAGTTTAGAAAGAACAGATTTAAACGGTAACAGTATAACGGAATGTAAGATAAAACGCACGGGTTACACATGTTTAATAAATAACATTGTTAAGTTTGTTTTTGGAATTTCGCGCAAAGATACACGAGGGCTATCTGCGCTAGCCGTCCCTAATTTAGCAGTGTAAGACTAGAAGGAAGGGAGCTAGTCATCACTACCCACCGCCAACTCTTGGGCTACTTTTTACCAACGAATAGTAGGATTGACCGTGACATTATAACGCCCCCACGGCTGAAAGGGCGAGCATGTTTGGTGTGACAGGGATTCGAACCCGCGACCCGCAGACTGCGAGCACCCTAACCACCTGGCCATGCCGGGTCTAACATTGTTAAGAGAAACTATTATAAATAAAGGCTTAATTATAGGTATAAACACTGTATTTTTAAAATAATGATAAATATCAAATAAAAACACTGACAATCCGGAATTGATTAAATTAATGACAAGAGGGAGGAGTTGATGTTATTATTTAGTGTTGGGTGATCATCGAAAATGGAAAGACTTTCTTTAATAAAGAGTTCATGTTGTTGTTTTTTTGAGAAAAATAATAGAGAAATGTAAGATAAAAACAACTGAAAATACACAATAGATGTCAAAGATGTAATACATGTTTGTTTTAACCTTGGCTAAACCTAATTAGATAACCACAGTTGTATATAGGTACTACATGTTTGTTTTAACCTTGGCTAGAACTAATACGATAACCATAGTTGTATATAAGTACTACATGTTTGTTTTAACCTTGGCTAAAGCTAATTACATAACCACAGTTGTATATAAGTACCACATGTTTGTTTTAACCTTGGCTAAAGCTAATTAGATAACCAAATTTGTATATAAGTACTACATGTTTGTTTTAACCTTGGCTAGAACTAATACGATAACCACAGTTGTATATAAGTACTACATGTTTATTTTAACCTTGGCTAGAACTAATACGATAACCACAGTTGTATAATGGTTATCGTATTAGTTCTAGCCATAGGTTAAAACAAACATGTAGTACTTATATACAACTGTGGTTATCGTATTATTTCTAGTCATAGGTTAAAACAAACATGTAGTACTTATATACAACTATGGTTATCGTATTAGTTTTAGCCAAGGTCAAAACAAACATGTAGTACTTATATACAAATGTGGTTATCGTATTAGTTCTAGCCAAGGTTAAAACAAACATGTAGTACTTATATACAACTGTATTTATCTAATTATCTTTAGCCAAAGTTAAAACAAACATGTAGTACTTATATACAACTGTGGTTATCGTATTATTTCTAGCCATAGGTTAAAACAAACATGTAGTACTTAAGTTGTATATAAGTACTACATGTTTGTTTTAACCTTGGCTAAAGCTAATTAGATAAATACAGTTGTATATAAGTACTACATGTTTGTTTTAACCTTGGCTAAAGCTAATTCGATAACCACAGTTGTATATAAGTACTACATGTTTGTTTTAACCTTGGCTAAAGCTAATTCGATAACCATAGTTGTATATAAGTACTACATGTTTGTTTTAACCTTGACTAAAGCTAATACGATAACCACAGTTGCATATAAGTACTACATGTTTGTTTTAACCTTGGCTAAAGCTAATTCGATAACCATAGTTGTATATAAGTACTACATGTTTGTTTTAACCTTGACTAAAGCTAATTAGATAACCACAGTTGTATATAAGTACTACATGCTGGTGTTTTCTGTGTAATATAACCCTTTTTTGTTATTTTTTCACACGGACAACAAAATTTACTCAGTATGATGCAGACATTACAAGTCAGGGTTAAAGCAGTTTACACTTTCCTAAAAGTGTTATTGTCTTATAAAAACAGCAGACATTGACATCAGGCTACCTGCTTATTGGTGGAAGCTGAAGTGAGTTTCTTCTAGGCCTACGTTCAACATTCTTCACACTTAACATGCTGTCGGTGGTCCCTGGTGGCCTCGCTTTCCATAAAGAGTTAGTCTATTGGGTAAAAAATAAAAATACATGTTGTAAATGTCACACAAACGGCACTCACCGTGTTTTAATTACCCCTAGAAAAGTAAACGACACTCACCATGTTTTACTTACCTCTTAGAAAGTAAACCACATTCGTCGTGTTTTACTTGCCCCTCAGAAAGTAAACGACACTCACCGTGTTTTACTTACCTCTCAGAAAGTAAACCACACTCGTCATGTTTTACTTGCCCCTCAGAAAGTAAACCACACTCACCATGTTTTATTTACCCTCAGAAAGTAAACGACACTCATCTTGTTTTTCTTACTCCTCAGAAAGTAAACGACATTCAGCATGTTTTACTTACTCCTCAGAAAATAAACCACACTCACTATGTTTTACTTACCCCTCAGAAAGTAAAAGGCACTCACTGTGTTTTACTTACCCCTCAGAAAGTAAACGACACTCACCTTGTTTTTCTTACCCTTCAGAAAGTAAACGACATTCACCATGTTTTACTTATCTCTTAGAAAGTAAACTACACTCACCATGTTTTACTTACCTCTTAGAAAGTAAACTACACTCACCATGTTTTACTTACCCCTCAGAAAGTAAATTGCACTCACTGTGTTGTACTTATCCCTCAGATAGTATATTGCACTCACCGTGTTTTACTTACCCCTAGAAAAATAAACGGCACTCACCCTGTGATCGTTATTGTTGAGTTGGTTAATCACTGATTCCCGACCATCAAACTCACGGCTGTAAATCTGGTATAGCTCCAATAGTTCTCTTGATGGTTTCACTAGAAGTTTTAAAGATGGGTATTACTTTCATTCCAGTGTGTCTAGATGTTTTAAAGATTGATATTACTTTCATTCCAGTGTGTCTAGATGTTTTAAACATTGGTATTACTTTCATTCCAGTGTGTCTAGATGTTTTAAACATTGGTATTACTTTCATTCCAGTGTGTCTAGATGTTTTAAAAATTGGTATTACTTTCATTCCAGTGTGTCTAGATGTTTTAAAGATTGGTATTACTTTCATTCCAGTGTGTCTAGATGTTTTAAAGATTGATATTACTTTCATTCCAGTGTGTCTACATGTTTTAAAGATTGGTATTACTTTCATTCCAGTGTGTCTAGATGTTTTAAACATTGGTATTACTTTCATTCCAGTGTGTCTAGATGTTTTAAAAATTGGTATTACTTTCATTCCAGTGTGTCTAGATATTTTAAAGATTGGTATTACTCTCATTCCAGTGTGTCTTAATTTAACGACGAAATAAGTACATAAAGATTGTAACTAGTGAGAGTTATATATCTGAGATCTTCATGTATTGTGTATCTAAAGAGAACTGACGTCTTATCATAACTTTGTAAGGATCTACCATTGTAAGTCCGCAGACATGCCGCTGTGCCACTGGTGGGCACGTGAGGATGTAATTCAACTTTACCTTTTATCAACAATGTGCAAGGATTAGGGTAAGGGTGCGACCGAATTTTACAACAATGCGCAATTGTGTGAAAATTTTGTTTTAAAAACCCCTATTTTTTATCTCGACAACTTATTTCAACAAAAATAATTCTCTGAAAGGTGGTGTACGTAAATAAAAACAAGTCAAAACAAACAAGCTAAAGACAGAAAGGCCCTCTAGCTCACAAGTTAACTTGGAGCGCCATCTGCAGCATAAATGGTGGAAGGTAACGAGCTGTCTCACGTACGGTGTAGAGGGGGTTCCGAACTGAAACAGATGTATTCAATATTCAATTCAGAATTCCCCAGGGGCTCAGCTGTAAGTCTGAAGACTCTATAAGTCGGGTCTCGATATCTGTAGTGGGCACAACACAGATAGCCCATTGTGTAGCTCTGCGCTCGACAACAAACAACAGTAACCGGTTTGTTTTAAAAACTGTCAACAAAACACGTACTTAAAACGATCTTAAGGAGAGACTTTAAATTATATTTATTGAAAATAAATAAATATCTCAAGTAGTTGGAAATCCTAAACCTCCTATTGTGAGTACTAATTACATCTATCACTGTACAAGTACAATATATATATAACTTTTTCTTACTATTTTTGTCATCTCCGTTATCCATAGCTGCAAAATAAAAACAAGATTTTAGTAAATTTTGTCAACTTCTCAAAATTCTAAACTACTTTCTCGAGAAAATCAGTCAAATTTATAATGTTGTTACATAACTTTATAACTGTGTTTGCATAACGTCGTTTCAAATTTCATGTTTGCATAATGTCGTTACATGGTTTATAATTTTACCTGCATACTTGCATGACGTTATATAATTCTGTGTATTTCTTTGCATATTCTGCATTTCATAACGTTGTTACATAGTGTTACAACGTTGCTGCATATTTTCACAACGTTGTTACATAGTGTTACAGCGTTGCTGTACATTTTCATAACGTTGTTACATAGTGTTACAACGTTGCTGTACATTTTCATAACGTTGTTACATAGTGTTACAACGTTGCTGCATATTTTCATAACGTTGTTACATAGTGTTACAACGTTGCTGTACATTTTCATAACGTTGTTACATAGTGTTACAACGTTGCTGCAAATTTTCATAACGTTGTTACATAGTGTTACAACGTTGCTGCACATTTTCATAACGTTGTTACATAGTGTTACAACGTTGCTGTACATTTTCATAACGTTGTTACATAGTGTTACAACGTTGCTGTATATTTTTATAACGTTGTTACATAGTGTTACAACGTTGCTGCACATTTTCATAACGTTGTTACATAACCCTATAACGTTTCTACACATCTTCATAATATTGTTACATATTTTTATAATGTTGTTACATAGTGTTACAAAGTTGCTGCATATTTTCATAACGTTGTTACATAGTTGCTGCACATTTTCATAACGTTGTTACATTACCCTATAACGTTTCTACACATCTTCATAATATTGTTACATATTTTTATAATGTTGTTACATAGTGTTATAAAGTTGCTGCACATTTTCATAACGTTGTTACATAGTGTTACAACGTTGCTGCACATTTTCATAACGTTGTTACATAACCCTATAACGTTTCTACACATCTTCATAATATTGTTACATATTTTTATTAATGTTGTTACATAGTGTTACAAAGTAGCTGCATGTTTTC